AAAAAAAAAAAATCACTAACAGAGCAAATAATGAGCCACACCATCACCTCCAGCTATAGAGTTAACACAGAACAAACAGAAAAATGACTTCTAGCAAACTAAGCGGCAGAGGAAGAACGTGTTGAGCCTCTGCTGGAGATGAAAGCATTTACCGTGTGTAGCTGCACCGCTCCCAGCACAGACCATCAGCCGGCCCGAGCACCTCAGCATTTCACCCTGGTATCCCCCCCGCCCCCCATGGCTCTCAGCCACATCCAAAAAAACATCCAAGCCACAAAAACAAAATAATAATAATAATAATCATCATCATAATAATAAAACATTTGTTTTTTCCCCAGAGCTGAGCTGTGCCATGAAGATGATGTGTTTTTCTTCTGGCTTCCTCTTCCAGCTATCACATCTATTAAGCATTTCTCTAAATTAGAAGTGTTCTCCTGTTACCGGCTATTCCCTTCCCCAGGAGATTTTTTAGACGCTGTGCACTCTGGTCAGCTCTTAACCTACAACAAGTCAAGCTCCAAATCTCTTCAAAGTTATTTTCCCCAGCTTCCAAACACGGCTTTTTGATGGATTACTAAGAATTTTTTTTTTTTTAAATAAAAAAAGCTTTGTACCACATCGCTCCCTCCATAACGACGAGAAGAACTGAGTTTCAACATTGCAGCAGAAAACTGCTGCTGCCGAGCAGGAGTCCCGCTTCACAGCTCAGAGACCTCACCAACCCTCGGCTACACCCAGTTCTCACAACACAAAACCAGTAATGACTCCTGCATGATTTCATGGAGATCTTTAGAGGCTACCAGCTGACATATTCCAAACCATCGGCCTGCTTTAAAAGCAAAATCTCAGCTGTTCCTCAAACTCCAGCAGCACTGACTGGCCCAACCATCCCAGACTCTCGCTGCCCAAGGAGCTCACGAACCTGGAGCCTGCACAGCATCCCCCCCAACCCAACTCCAGCATCGCAACAGCCCCAAAAAAGAGTGGGAGCAAAACTAAAATCTGCTCTCTGAACATAATAAAATTAAATAAGTAGTAAAAAAGGGGGGGAACCACCAGTAATAGTGTTTTCAGTTCCCAATGGAGCCCAGAAGGCAACACTGAAGAGCTGATAGGAACTCATCATGAAGGAGTCTCCTTCTCTGGAGATATTCAAAGCCCGCCTGGATGAAGTCCTGTGTAGCATGCTCTAGGTGAGCCTGCTTTAGCAGGGGGGTTGGACTAGATGATCTCCTGAGGTCCCTTCCAACCCTTACGATTCTGTGATTCTGTGATTCATAGCGCAAGTTCAAGGCACTGGTAACATGGAAAGGGAAAGGCAACACTTCGTTCCTTTGTTCAAATGCTTTAGTCGTATAGCTGGGGGGAATGACCTGCTTCGTGGCAATATGAAGAGTTTGAATAACTAGTGACTGGTTGCAGGACCAATGCGGCTTTAATTACTATACAACTGGTTGCTTTTGATGGCTGTAGGAGGAAAAGGTTTTTCCACTGAGGCAAAACTCTT